CAGCATCGAGTGAACCGCGCAGTAGTCATCAATCAACCCGAGGCCGTTCACTATCGCCCTACCGTCGCTCCTCTTATCCTCTTCAGCCTGCTTCCCTCGCTTCTGATCGGCGCCCGGAAAACTAAGCGATGCAGTTTTTGGAGGACAAACTGCATTCCAACACAGGACTCCAATTCCTCTAGCGCGCCCTTACAATATGATTGCGATCACAATTGAGGGAGTGGACGTTGATGCTTTGGTTGACACTGGGGCTGCGTTTCCTGTTATTCGTACTGATTTGTGTTCTCGTCTTCGAAAAGTCACCACGCCTTATGATGGACCAACACTGGTTACAGCCCAGGGAACAATAATTCACCCTCTACGCTCTCTGTACTGCCGGTGTGCTAATCGACGAAATTCTTCATCATATAGAATTTGCTGTGCTATACCCGTGCTTCCACGAACTTATTTTAGACTGGGACTTTCTTTCCTCTGCTTCCGCGGCTATTTGTTGTGCACAACGTGTCGCCCATCTTACTGACACGGACCACTTGCTCAACGACAAAACCTACAGGCCACTTCAACTCATCGCTGCTGTAGACATCGAGCTACCACCAAACGAACATCAATCAGCCACAGTTTTGTCCAACGACGTCAACTCTGGGGACATTTTGGTCACTCCGTTGCCTTAATAAAGACGTAGCTCTCGCATCAGGTGTGGCTCGCTTCAACAATGAATCAACTGTCCTCGCTGCTACCAACACCACACCAGATAAAATTTTACTGTCACGGGGCACAACTGTCGCCTGCGTTGTCTATCTGGAGCCTGTGTGCGTTGTGCCTCTTACGCCTGTCTCCTCTAAAGGCCATCCTGCAGATCATGCTGCTTCCTCGGCCTTTACAGCAGCCATCAACAAAGACTTGACAGACTCACAGAAGCAGCAGCTGCTTCATTCGTTGGAAAAGCATGCAAACTCCTTTGACGTTCATTCATCCACCCTGGGCCAGACACCGTGGTGCGTGGCCTAAAATGGAAGACTTGCCTATGTTACCTCGATGACATTGTTTTCTCTTCTTCGACGTTTCCTCAACATCTGCAACGCTTGGACGAGGCGCTGACTTGTCTTGCGGGCGCTGGTCTTCAAAAGAACACCAAGAAGTGCCATTTTGCCAGCAGATCTATCAAGGTCCTCGGTCATGTTGTGAGCACGGACAGAATTTGTCCAGACCCTGATAAAACTGCTGCAGTGCTTCGCTTCCCTCGCCCTGACAAACCAAAAGATTTGCGAAGTTTCCTTGGTCTCGCCTCTTACTTCCGGCGATTCATACAAAACTTCGCCTCCATAGCCACACCAATCCATAAGCTACTTGCTTCCGGTATGCCCTTTCAGTGGTCTCAGCAATGTGAATCGGCTTTCGACAGGTTGAAGAGTGCCCTCACGACCGACCCTGTACTTTCTAATTTTCACGATGATGCACCGACCTTCCTGCACACAGACGCTAGTGGCTGCAGTTTAGGAGCCGTGCTCCTGCAACGCGACAACTCTTCGCGAGAGCGAGTCGTTCCATACGCCCACCGCATCCACTTCACAGCCGAGAGGAACTACACGATCACCGAGCAGGAGTGCCTCGCCATTGCTTGGTCAGTGCAGAAATTCCATCCATACCTGCACGGCCGCCAATTCACCATTGTGACCGACCACCACGCTTTATGTTGGCTTTCGACACTCAAGAACTGGTCGGGACGCTTCGGCCGCTAGATTCTACGCCTCCAAGAATATGATTTTGACATCGTGTACAAGTGTGGCAGGAAGGATAGTGACGCCAATGCTCTTTCTCGTTGCCCACTACCAGTGGCTCCACTCGGGGATTCCGCAATCACTTTGTGCAATACACCCTCGGAGTCTATGTCTACGGCAGTTTCCTCTCTCTCGCCTCTATGAACCAGCTGCCTTTGGACGACCCCCCCCCCCCCCCCCCGATTTTCCTTCTTGACAGTTGGCCGACCCATACTGTCGCCATATTATAGGCTACCTCACTGGCCGTTCCCGTCCAGCTAATGCAAGGCTTCGTCGCTAACTCTCGCAATTTAAGCTCGACAACTCGGTGCTGTACCGCAAAATTTACCATCCTGACGGTCGGCACTGGGTTCGTGTTCTACCCCGATCGCTTCGGTCCAAAGCCCTCGGAGCGCTTCATGACCATCCGACTGCTGGTCACCTTGGTTACCATAAAACCTACGATCGCCTTCGAAGTCGGTTTTATTGGCCAGGCATTACCACTAGTGTAGCTCGGTACGTCGGGTCCTGCACTACCTGCCAATGTAGAAAACTACCAACTGCTCCAGCCGGTACACTACAGCCTTTTCCGTGCCCAGCCACACCATTCGAAGTTGTAGGTGCCGATCTTTATGGCCCCCTTCCAGTCAGTGCTGCTGGAAACCAGTGGAGAGTAACAGCCATTGACCATTTGGCGCGCCACGCCGAGACGGCGTTCGTCACTACTGGTTCAGCTTCTGAAATTGCCGATTTCATCCTCCGAGCCACAATACTGCGTCATGGTGCTCTACGTGTATTGCTTAGTGACCGTGGAAGGGCCTTCCTTTCACAACTAGTGAATGAACTTCATGCCTTCGGCACAACTCACAAGACTGCCTCTAGTTATCATCCCCAGACTAACGGCCTGACTGAGCGATTCCACCGCACTCTTGCTGACATGATCGCCGCCTATATTCAACCAGACCACAAGAACTGGGACGTAGTTCTACCATTCGTCACTTTCCCCTACATAACGGTCATCAGCGGACAACCGGCTACTCACCGTTTTACCTAGTTAATGGACGCTCCTCACTTCTTTCCTGGACGTTTCCTTTTTTACCTTCCAAGCGGATTCATCTCCATCCTCTTCAGAGGAATACGTCTTACGACTCGCAGAGTGCCGTCAATGTGCTCGTATAAACACTGAAGACGGACAGCAAGACAGAAAGCTAGTTTATGATGAATCGCATCGTGCTGTATCCTTACAACCTAGAGCCGAAGTGCTCCTTTTGATGCCTACTCGCACATCTGGTTTGGGTGACAAATTTCAGCCACGGTTTATCGAGCCGTACACAGTCCTTGAAGAGACTTGACCAGTGAATTATCGCGTGACACCACTTGTAGTCCTAGCAGATCGCCGTTATCGAACTACAGAGGTCGTCCATGTCTCCCGTATGAAACCCTTCATGAGACGTCCTTTGTCCCCTTGACTTTCCGCGGCCAGGCTGGCCGCTTTCACGTGGGGGGAATCGGTGTGGGCATTTAGTGTACCCATCCTCTTCACCTGCACATTATCATCATTATCATGTGTTGCTCATTCATCCTCATCGTTGTCGCGTAGCATCATCATCTTGGTTCATTCATCGTAGCTGTCGGCTGCCGGTTCCTCGGGCCTAATAAAGGTAATCTAAACCAAGACTTCATAATATTTCTTTCAAAAATGTGCCCCACCATGTTCTGTAATGAAGTCTAAAGGTAGGTCGTAGGCTACCTTAACCGAGCCTTACTTAACTACAAGAAAAGCTCCGCGATATATTTCTTGAAATGCGTTAAGGGCGGACTTATGGCTATAGTTGACCAAAGTCATAAGGATAAGGTTAAGTGAGGTTTGTAAATATGGAGGTTAGAGAAGCAACAAAGTGAATCGTTTTGTAGGACCACGACAGAATGCATGAAGCAAATATGGCCTAACACTTGCAGACGTCTGGCTGAGCACAAGACACGGAGATTACTTATGCATTCTTTTCTAAGCATTTGCCTTCGCAGTGCCTTGGTAAGGGGTCTTTGTTTGAAAATGCACCCCATAAGGGGCACACATCATAGTTAAAAAGACAAGCAAACGGCAATGAACAAGAATAATAATAATTAGGTGAGCTAGCTGGTGCGTATTCATGCTAAATGACTAGGCATGCAAGCATGACACAAGACACCACAAAATCTACGTTCGCGCTTTTTTTCACTTTTGTGTCCGCGTTCGCACAGCCACTCTCTTATCAGGAACGAGCAAACGACACTCGAATGCACGCTAACGTCATGTTTTTCGTTATTCGCTACAAAATGTGCAAAGCCAGATTTCAGAACACGAGACGCCAGCGAACCTACGAACGCTGGATAGTTTGTCAGGGTCGAGAGCGCGACGAGTTTCGTTGGAAAGAAAAAGAAAAAAGAAAAAAAAAACGGCGTCAAGCCTTCGGTAATATGGGAAAACTATCCGCTTCTAACAAAAGGGGACACCAAAAGCACGACGATGTTTCGGCGCATCATTCGGCGTCTCACCAGCAGCGCCTGTGCAGAATCGAAACATTCGCTCTGAACTCATCGCACAACGGTGAAATGACACCTACTACAAAACCTACAAGTTTTACCGTTATCCGACGCCCGAAATTAGCGAGCCGTACTTTCCACTTTCGACAGCCACCACTCGATCAGCAGAGCACACTCCGCTTGCTTGTTCGCGCGCGTGTTCTCGCTCACCTTCTCTCGTGGCTCATACCCACTGTGGGGGATTGGCCCAAAATTAGCGTGCTTTCGACGCTCATAGCCACTTAACACCACACAACAAATGAACAGTCTAAATAACCTACAGTTTAAACTGGATTTTGCTAAAACAGTGAAAATAACAATCAGCGATCATAGTTTTTGTTCTTCGCACTCTGAACGAGATTCACATGAAGCAAAGGTCCGCGCCGCACCGTCATTTTTGAGGTTTGTTGCTCGGAAGAATAACAGAAGCGGCGAGGCAGCCAAGAACACATAGTAGGCATTATATATCATCTAACAGGTAGGTTTTCAGCAGTCGGCTATTCGCAAAGTTTTCATGAGGCCCGCAAGGCAATCGTTTCGAGGCGCTGCTCTGCCGGGTACCACCGCAACGCTTCATCAACATCGGCGCAGTGTTACATCGCGAACTTTCAAAAGCCCGTTGACAGCTCGTCAGGAGCGATTAGTCATGCGATCGTCTGAGAAGCTTAAAACGAAACGTACCTGCGGAAGACTTTTTCTAAGCTCTTGAATAACGGCGCGGATCAGAACGCGCGATTCCTTGGAAGTCGCCATGTTACGTAAACTACATAACGCAACCGCCTGCTTTGCGAATCTGACCTAGCAAGATTTTTTGCCGCAGATGTAAAAACACATTAAGCTACTTTAAAAAAACATTTATGGCGTTTTTTAAGCGCAAAAAAATTTTTTGGCTTATTTTAATAATGACCTGTCAAAAAAATCGTAAATACGAAACTTGTGGAATACTTGAATAAGAGTGAACTCCTAGGTGAGCGAAAATGGGCGATGACAAATCTGGCAGCAGCGATTTGATTTCTCTGAACGAGCTATTTGACAGTGGCTTTAACTTGTACCTCGAAATAGAGAAGTCAACTGAGAGTGCCAATGAGAAGACCTACCAAGTAAGTCGCGTTTAGCATGTTGACATCTCTGAACGATGTGTTCGATCTCATCGCATCGAAGCAGTATAACTGTGCGACTATTTTGAGTTTACAGAAAACAAGCTTACCATTTGCGAGTGCTCGACTGCGCTTATTCATTTTTGTTCCAGGACAAAGTGCAGGAGGCGACCACACGGTTTGAGAATGCGACACAGCTCGTCAACGAAATCGGGATCTTCAGCGAAAACGAAGAACTCGACGAAGTAGCCACAGGCCACTTGAAGTACGCCGGCTCGTTTTCTGAATTTATATAATGCATGTATTTGCACATTATTAAGTGCTCGCGTAAGGTAGTCTCTTGCGTTGCGTTATGGCTCAATGGTCAAGCAGCTGCCGCTGTTTCTAAATGCCCAACAAACGTTGTCAGAAATATAAACCCATGGTTTATATTTCTGACAACGTTAAAGAATTCTGCAATAACGTAACGAATTCCGCTACAAGATAGCACCTCTTGTGTCGGAGCTTTCGATGAAACATTGGGCTTTAATTTTACAGGTTTGTTCGGGTCTTATTTACCACTATTACCAGGACGAACGCTGCTGGTACATTTGCTCTAGGGCCATTCCATGCCAAACGCCCCAGCCATTTCGGCGACCATTTCAAATGCATTTGAAAAAGGAAAGAAGAAAAATCGTTTTGAGTTACTGCATTGAAAGCAGTAAACTGGTTACATATTTCGGCGAGAAAAAAATTTGGTCGCGTGGCTGCCGTCTGGGTGCTGTTTGCGGAAAAATTTATTTTAAAAGTACCGGCCCTTCTTTATATGCCACAATTGATCTACATGGTACTAAGTAAATGTGCTGCTGTAAAATATTTGAAACTCAGGAATATTAGTGTAATTTTTCTGCCACATACACCTCCAAGAATTAGCCGAAAATTTGTTTTGTTTGCATTTTTTCTGTTGCAATACTGCACTTTGTCTGAATATCTGAGCAGTGAATACCTACTTCACAGAAGGTTTATTTTGAGGAAAAAAAATATGTTTAAACCTCTCAAGCTGCTAAAATTTACAGGAAAAATCACAAATTTTACAAAATTAATTTTTTTTTCATATTGAGATGCAATTTGCACCATGTCGTGTTCCAATTAAATATCACTTTTATCCTAAAATTGAAAGCCAATAAACAGCTCTTTATATTTGGCAAATTTTATCATTACAATTTTCGTTTTATGGAAGAAAATTATTTTTGAACTTTCCCATTGACGGCAATGGGGAACTTTCAAGGCAGCAGCTGTCGAATGACCAAATGCGAAGAAAGATGCAATTTCTCTGTCATACGGATTATTTCAGATCACGAGCGATCCTGATCGATGCTGATTTCTGTAAAAAGTGCTCAGTGTGACACAAGCGCGGAAATAAGTGTTTCATCTTGAAGTTGTGTGCTTACACAAAAACACAAATATATTCGTAGTTTGAAAGCAGGCAGGTTTTCAGCTCTAGTCCAAAAGCTGTATTGTACAACTTTAGTATGGATAGGGCAACTCTTCTCCTGCATGTCGACGATGTGGGTGGGCCTTGAAGAGGTGGACAGGGAAAACACAGGTGTGTCCTGTACTTTATGCATTTTTTGTTTGTGCCTCTCCCTTGTCCAACATCGAGCCCCTTCATGTAGCTGCTAGACATTGCTCTAAATGCATTTTAAGGAATTCGCCAGAAATAATAGAGCAGCAAACTCAAACACTCTACGAAAAACACCGCCGAAACGATTGAAAAATCCATATTGAAAGTCACACGCTGGAAGTTTCTTTAGGCAAGCCATTCAGCACGAACCAGTTTGTTTACAAATACCAAAACCGTCCATGTAGTGGTCATGCTTTTCATTTCATGCATGAATAATTTTACCTATGACAGGTTTCTACTGTTGCCAGCATTTCTTGGATCCCTAATGCAGAAGAGAGTTGGGACGGACCGAAGTGAACTCCTGCAATTTTCGGAGGTATGTTTCAATTATACTTTACTCTTGTTAAGGTGCTTGAAACATTCTCTGGGAAGCAATCCACTGTGCCAGAAGTTTGCTAAGGACAATTTTATATATTTTTTATGTAGCCATTTTGTGGTGTACTACAAGTAATTTCGTGTATTCTGCTGTGCAGATGTTATCCTTCTAGGCGCTACCTCTATGTGCCATATCAATACAACATTATTTCAGGGCACTCAATATTTTATTGCAACAAAAGCTGTGCAATATAACGCCAGTATATGTGTTACATAAATTATTCCTGACTAAATTGTAGGTTATTATCAAATTATTTGAAGGGCATTCATACCTTGATTCTTGAATAAATGTAATCGTATCGCGCATTGGAAATGCCAGGCTGTTTCAATTTTGGCTGTTGATGTTGAGGAATACTTTTGACGTGACTGGCAAGGAGCAGAACGTCAAACGACTGTCTGAACGTGGTAGTGCCTTCAGCAAAGCTATGATATGCAACAGTGCAGTGCAAAATGGAGCTAAATGGAGACAAATTATACGTGGGAGGTTCAATTAATCCAAAGCTCAATGTATTTGGCTGTTTATTAGTCCCCAGTCGAATTGACTAACAGAAACAAGTGGTGTACACAACGTCTGAAAGAGGTCATGTGCTCACATTTGCAGGTTCTTATAGCGGGACTATAAGACAAAGCAATCAGTTGTCTCAATAGATAAATTCTGCTTTGAGAACTGTGATGTCATTGTATTCACCATCATAGGATCATTAACAGAGGATAAAGTGAAAGTATCCTTTTAAATCTAGCAACAAAATCTCTGTGACCAAATCTCATGTCACTGATTTCGGAGTGCATTTTTCTTTAAAGGGCCACTCACCAATTTTGACAATTTTGAGCTGACAAGCGCAATGCGTAGATGAGGCGTTCGTGATCACGTGTGCCAAAATTTGCAACGCTATGCGCCACGGAAATGGGTGAAATTTGAAGATGAACGCTGCTCCCCCTCCCTTCTGCCAGCGCGCGCCCAGAGAATGAGGGCATGATGTGCGGGTATGAATTGCCCTACGTACACGGCAATGCAGTGACGTTAGTCTTCTACGTAGACGACTCTGCTCTGACGTTGCAAACTGGCACGGGACATGGCGAAAATTATTTAACGCGACATTCGTAGTTTATGTAATTTGTTGCTTGAAAAGATTAATAAAACTCTAGATAAATAATGATACAATAAGGGATGGTTAGTGGCTCTTTTCCATTTTTCTCCCGTCAATTGCAACGAGATGCGGAGCTAATGTGTCGGCGTTTCGCATGCGTTCCCCGCGGTCAGCGTCTCGAGCAGACGACCGCCATGGAATGCTCCTTCGCGTTCGAGCACTCATTGTGCTGATCTTTTCTACCACGTCTAAGCCAGCGTTTCCAAAACATCCCGCAGAAATGGGCAGAAGACCACAAAATAACGCTGGTCAACAAAGCAACGCCGCTGGTGTGTTCGGGGGTTGGGCTTGTTTGGGCACGTCATGCGCACGTGACGTTTTGGTCAGATGCTGGAGACGGTGGGGAAGAGATTTAGCTTGCGAATGCTATGGGGAGGAGCGGCAAGGGTTTCGAGCTCGCCTCCTCTCATCCTCGTTTCGCGCCGCTTCAAAAAACCTGTTTTCTCGGCTCATGATGAAGAGATTCAAAAAAATTTTTGTGGCAAAATGTTCCTCATCGGACACCCAACAACTGTCTAACTAAAATTTGGTATGGGGACTGGTGAGTGGCCTTTTAAAAAGTGACCTGGCCCAACAAAATTTTCTGTGACTTAGTATCTGAAATATATAGCGCCGTCAGAGGGCCACGTACTTTATTTTCACTCATTAGGAAATTTCAAGGACATAGTAGATGCCATCAAAAATCTTTGACGTCAGAGCATTTGGTGCGGGAATTCAATCTGTTGTCGCCAGCCACAATTTCTTTTTGCATTTTTTGTCTCGTACCAAGCATCTTTTTGTGACCAGCTTGGTGATTTTGAAAGAGTGGGTTACTCTTATGAGAAAATTCATTTTAGTGTCTATTAGTAGTATTCATTAGTAGCTATCATGGAAACGCCATAGTGCTTTGCCAGCAGTTTGTGAATAAATGAAGATAGAAGTAAATGAAAGAAGTAAATTGCATTGATTAACCATAATTTGCCTTCTTGAAGTAAAAGCCACAATATCCAATGAGAATTCGTGTTGTAATCCCATGGCTTAGTAGCCAAAGACCTCTGTGCCACACCGCCGACGCTGCAAGGAGCACTTTTTCGGTATGCTTGGCGCTATGCTGTAACATACCATCTGTGCGTGGAGGTGAAAGAATTTTAATGAGCTGTTTTCAAAATGCAGAATAGGAAACAGGCAAAAAAAAAGAATCACTGCCAAAGCAATCTGTACAGACAATCAACCAATGAAGCCGAAATTTGCAGCTGCTGTGTTTACCACTAGCTAAATCCCAATTGTTCATTTAAATGCTTGTCACTATTTTGTTTCAAAAGTTTAGAAATCCTAAATCTCAAGCTGCGTTTGTCAATATTTTGTTTCAACAGTTTAGAAATCCCTAATCTCCAGCTGCGTGTTCCCTTTGTCATTTTTAGTGGATAGTGATAATTATTGGCCTGCAGGCCACAAGATTAAATTGCACATTTTCGGTGGAGAGAAAAATACCAGAGGCCCACGTACTTAAATTTAGGTGCACTTTAAAAAAGCCACATCTGGTCGAAGTTTTCATGGCCCTCCATTACGGCGGCTCTCATAATCGTATCACGGTTTTGGGATGTTAAACCTCAACAGAACCAACAAAATTGACTGATAAGTATTTGGATTTGCCGAAATTCTCTGGCATGTGCTGCACACATAACTGGCCTATGCTTATATACAGAGTATTTCAAGAAATGTGTCTGATATTGTTTGAAAACCAGAAAAAAAGGCTATCTGATCGCTGTCTTCACAGTTGCTTTTTCTGTAGCGGCAGGCATCTTAAGAAGGTTGGAGACGTTATTTCAAGTGGTAATTAGGATAGTTAAATAATTAACTTCTTTATCAGTGGAATTAGGCAGTTATGTCAAATAGAAGAATTGAAGTCCTTGATGTGAAAAACCCATTGCAAATTGAGGAAATTCTCTGAATTGTTGCGGCGAAACCAAAACCAACGGATCGAGGAGCGTCACTAGCAGACTACAACAGTGACGTCATTGTTCAAAATAGCGGTTACAGGGGTGCAGTTCTTCCTTGTTCGTTAACATATGGGCATAATGCATACTGTAACTGCGAGCGCAGGCCACTAACTCACACAACGAAGTCGGTTGATAGATCTAACAACGCACCCTAATTTCAGTTGCACTCTTGCAATTTGGTTTCAGTTTCGCTGCTAACTTGGGGACAATTTCATTAATTCACAGTTATTACTAGAAGCCACTTTTCCGAAATCTCAAAGCAGCAATAGATTTTTCGCATGAAGGACTTCAATTCCTACATTTGACTTAACTGCCTAATTCTACGAATTAGAAAGTTAATTATTTTAACTTATTAAATTACTGTTTCAAATATTATTATCAACCCTCTTAAGATGCCTGCCACCATAACAGTGAGCAAACAGCACCTTAGCCTGATTTTTTAAGAATATTAGACATATTTCTTGAAACACCCAGTGTATAGACCCTACACCCCTTACTTTACACAAGAAAAAAAAAGTTTGCATAACCCGCACCTCCACATTTTAAGTATATTTCTCAAGTTTTTTCTGGGCTGGTAATATGCGAGAAAATGTGGTGCATGCTAGGAGTTTTTACACGTATGAGACGCATATCAGACGAATGAATTTTGTTTTTGTCTAGCCATATACAGCTTCACTTAAGAGACAGAAACTGCAGAAGTCAGCAGTTTCTTTGGCCCTGTGCTCGTGCACTGTGACAGCTGCAATTTCCGCTAGAAGTAGCTCTTCCTGTGTTGCCTGTGCTTCCTTAACCCGTAGTTGTTGGTGAAAAGCCCAGAACACAAAGGATAGGGAAGACAGAGAGCAGCACCAACTACCGAATACTGTCCCGTTACCCCCCCCCCCCCCCCCCATCTCACGCACACTTTTAAAAATTTTTTGGTCGTATTTCATGCTTTACACAAGCTTCCACGTGTTTAAGAGACACTTCCTATCTAGTATTTGGTGTGCATTATTATTTGTTCTGTATTATCAGCAAAGATTGTTCATACCTACTCTATTTCTCTTGCTTATGAATCATAAGAAATATGCAGAAAGAACGGTGCAGGCGGTGCGAGAATTCGGGTGTATGAGTTGGCTTCACGGCACTGCTTCATGTTTATTCAAGGAAGGCGGTTTCATGGCAATACCGTATATACTCGCATAATGATCGCGCTTGCGTAATGATCGCACCCCTAAATTTTGTCGTCTAAATGCGATTTTTTTCCCCTCGCGTAATGATCGCACCCGAACTTGCCGCATCGATATGTCGTGTGCCAAGTCTAGCCGATGATCATCGCCTTTATTATCTGTCGAATGAAACACGCCAACTGCACGCACCAAACATATTCTTAATTTTTGCCCACCGTTGGCGGAAACGTGCCATCATTTAGGATTGCAGTAAGGGCAAATGCCGCATTTTTCACTGAATGCCCGCCATGTGTTTTTATGTCTGTGGCTGCTGAACGCGCCTATCATTGTTTCTGTTATCTAAAAGCAGGCATCACTACGCTAATGCCGTAAGTTTACTGATTTAAATGAAAGCATTCCTTATTTAGATAGAAGAAACTGTTTTGACACGCGTGACGTACTCACAACCTCCATAACTGTTGAAAAGAAGAAAAAAAAAAATGCGGTCGCTTCGCTCCGTGAGCCGCCATGTTTGTTTTGACATCCCGCACTGTTACCACTGCAGCCGCCTGTTGGTCGACCTGTGTTCATCCCGCAGCAATGTTTTTTTTTCCTGAGACCACATTTTTTTTTGTGCGTGTGTGCTTTGTGATCGTCTGTTGAAGCGCCGTTTCACCATGGGGCGGTATGTGAGCTTTACTGCTGCGTTCAAGCTGAAGGTGCTTGACTACGCGTTAGAGCACGGCAACCGCACTGCCGGCAGACATTTCGGCGTCGATGAAATCCGGATCCGATATTGGAAAAAAAAGCGCGACAAGCTCATGGCTACTAACAGCACGCGACGGGCTTTCTGTGGACCCAAGTCTGACAAGTTCCCTGACATGGAAAAGGCAGTCCTCGAATACGTGAATAGGCCCGTGTGCTCAGATTTGGGTGCACGTTAAAGAACCCCAGGTGGTCAAAATTTCCGGAGCCCTCCACTACGGCGTCTCTCATAATCATATGGTGGTTTTGGGACGTTAAACCCCACACATCAATCAATCAATCAATCGAATACGTGAAGGACATGCGCAAGGACGGTTGTGCAGTGTCGTTAGACATGATACGGACGCAGGCGCGCACAGTTTACTGGAGGCTGGGAATAGCTACAAAGGTCTTCCGCGCCAGTTCTGGCTGGACGACACGCTTCATGCGGCGGAATGGACTGTCGCTGAGGCGGCGAAGGTTGTTGTGTCAGTGACTTCCATTCGCATACGAAGACAAGGTGATCGATTTCCACAGTTTCGTCACGAGGTTATGCCAGAAGAACGGCTTCCGGCTCTCACAGATAGGCAACACCGACCAAACGCCATTGACATTTGACATGCCTCGAAACACTACTGTGAACGAGAAAGGTGCTCAAAGCGTCCTCGTGAAAACGTGTGGTGCGGAAAAGCAGCGATGCACCGTGATGCTCGCAGTGACGGCAGACGGGCGGAAGCTGCCGCTGTATGTTATTCTGAAACGGAAAACCATTCTGAAGGGAAACTTTCCCTGTGGCATCCACATCCGCGCTCAAGTAAAAGGGTGGATGACGGCAGACCTCATGGTCGATTAGATCAAGACTGGTTGTGGGCAAAGAGCAGGAGCACTTCTGCTTCCTTCACTTCTGCTGGACAGCTTTCGAGGCCATCTTGTTGACATTGTCCGTACCGAGCTGAAGGAGCGGCGCACGGAAATCGCAGTGATTCCTGGGGGTCTAACTTCGCTGCTACAGCCTCTGGACGTGTCACTGAACAAACCGTTCAAGGACAAGCTCCGAAGGCTGTACACAGAGCGGATGGCAGCGAGCGACCACGGTTTCACGCCAAGTGGCAAAATCAGGAGACCATCCGTGGAAGTCCTCTGCTTATGGATTCTTGGAGCATGGAGTACCATTTCCGACGAGGTGCTCATCAAGAGCTTCAAAAAGACTGGCATTTCCAACGTGCTTGACGGAACGGAAGATGACCGTCTATGCGACAGTGAAGACACTGCTGGTTCCGACGGGGAATCGTGCGGCGACGACACTGACGCCAGTCTGAGTGAACGTTAGGGGGGTCAGAGAGGTAAAAAATAAAAGGGCAGTGTGCCGTGCATGTAGCTTCTGCGTAATGCATGCATTTTATTACAAAGGTAAGCCTTAATTTACTTTTATTTTTGGTTATGTTCATGATAGTTATCGTAAGAATTCTGATTAGCGACTTTCTTGCGTTTTCAGTGCTCGGAATATTTTTTCACGGAAAATTTATTCCGCCTAATGATCGCATCCCAAAGGAGTCAATTTTTTTGAAAAAAAAAAAAAAGAAGTGCGATCATTATGCGAGTATGTATGGTACATGGGGACATTTTTTTTCCATTGTTATTTTTCAGTGGTTACTTGTCAAACACAAGAAAATGTGGTACTAGGTATATGAGGTTTGCCAAGTTGCACATTGATTTCTCCTACAACTGCAGTGCAAACATGTGGTTGCTGTAACCATCATTAATCACGCATATTTTCAAATTCGCCATTGATGGCTATTTTCCACTTTGTTCATATGGCTTTCTTCTCATTTAAGTTCACCATTGACATCAGTGGGGAACTGTTGATCTTCCTTAAACTAAAGAATGTAGTAATAAAGCCTTTTAGATAAAAACTAATTGTTTTGAACTCGATGGTGTTATTTCTCGATTTTTAATGTGGGCACCACATGGCACTAACTGCATCTCAGTGTGAACCAGAATAAATATTTGATCAGTTTCATGATTTTTTGTAGTAAGGTTTAAAAGTGTCAGTTGTTAGAAATTTTTTCACTGCACAATATACATTTCGTAGAGTAAGTATTGATTACTGGTATATTCATACACAGTGCAGTATTGCAAAAAAAATATACAAACGTGGGAAAATTTTGGCAAAGTTTTGGTAGGCATATATGTCGAAAAAAATGTAGTATAATATCATTGAGCTTTCAACATCTTGCAAAAATGCCCTTGCTTAATGCCCCAATCAAATTCGGTATTCAAACGACAAATGATACTGTGAGAATGAATGTTTTGACAAGCATTTCTTGGATGACAGTCTGCAAAATTCAGAAGGCTCCGTCATGGCCAGATGGTTTTTTTTACCTGAAATATTCTGGCATTTCACTCTTTTCATTTCAGTAAATCTGCAGAATTTTTTCCGAGTAGATTTGACATGGTCAGCAAAATGGCTGGGTTGTTTGGCGTGGATCTAACCTGTGCAAATTACTTTGAAGGTGATCACGATCACAAATGTTGGTTATCACTTTGTGTGATGCAACCATAAAAGCAAGGTTTTTCATTTGAGGTGCTCATTCGTTGGAATAGCTGTTGCTGGAAAGTATGGTACTCACAAGCTTAGGTGTAAAGGTCATTGTTGAGCCTTCATATAACATGGGTATTAACTTAATATTGAACACGTTGCACTAAGCTAATTAGTACTCACAAATGAAGAGGTTCTTAACAGTGTAGCATTCTTTATGAAGCTTTTCATGACTGATTCAGACAATTCCGGATTGGGAATTTAAGTGTATTATATAGCGGCTGCTTGTGTGACAGGTTTACTACCGTGACTTCCTAAGGCGATGTCGGAATTACGGAGTCACCAGCTACGAATTGCCCGAAGCAAGAGACGACGATTCTCCTGAGGAGAAGCCGGCTACGAGTCCCAAGAAGTCTGAATCGGAAAGCCTTGTCGATGCTTGCAGGTTTGTTTTTCCTCTGACCTAGTTCACGTTGATTTCTGAGGCTTTTTTTTTATTTGTTCAGTTACAAATTTGAGTTCATGAGCCCCTAGTATGGTCTGCAGTAGTTATTGCTCATTGATTTCTGGTAATTGTTTTTTTTTTTCCTTTTTAGTGGTATTTCATATCGGTGACTATTCAATACTTCTCTAATCAACTTTAGGTGATAAATAAGTTTTTAAGTATATCTATATACAAGCAAGAATATTTTATATATTTGTTTTTCTATAGTCTCTCCTCCGAACAATGAATTTTCTAAATGAATGCACCGCAAGACACTTTCATGTCATATTTGTTTACAGCAGCCCTTGCTTGAAGAAAACTTATCACAATAATATCACTTTTACCAGGAAGGAGCATAGCCATGAAATAGATGCCCCATTGTTTTTGGTGTTACATGAGCCAAAAATCAAAGTTTATGGTTGTGGCAAATAGGAAATCGACAAGTGTGGAAGTTCATTCTCAGTGTCATGAGTACAAGGGCACGAGGCACGTTCCGGGCACTGAAATGTGGCACATGTGAGCGAGACCCCGATGGTAAACAGACGCGCCACGTTCATGTACGAGATTGTTTGGAAAAAGGCTCGTGACATGCGACCAGAGTCGTAATGGGAAATCTAGGAGGATGAGCTGTCACTGTGCTGTAGAACTTTGAACTGCAACGGTTGGAAGGTCAGCATCGCTACAGCCAGGGAAGCAGTAGAGCTGCCTGGTTTCTAAAAAGACTGCTTACCGTCCTTCATTGCTCTCCTGTTTTGTGTCGCAATAAAAAGCATACCATGTGAAGTGTCTAACATTGAAGCGGTTTCTCTAGAAAGTGAATAGAAATCTTTAAAACAGAATTTTTCTGTCAGCATTATGTCTTCTTCCATAGGCATTGTTTCTTCTTCATATGCCCACAACACTGGTCAGTGCCGGTGAAAGTCGAAAACCGAAACCACACCCAGTTTTCGCTGGCGTCATCAAGTCTGGTTAATAATGAAACAAATACTTTAGTAGTTGTTTAAGGCATGCACACACTTTTTTGTTGTTCTAATGAGTGCAGTGGACGCCGTGGTCGCGTTCTCCGCCGTTTGCAGGCAGGCATGCAAGCGAACACACCGCCAGCAGTGACACTGAGCACCTATTAGAACGCGCGAGAAAAAACAAAATTGGTCTCTGGCGTAACCAAAAGCTGCTTCAAGCACATAAAATACAACTTCAAGTTAAAAGTGTTTGTTTTTTAGGCAAAATAAGTTTACCTGCAACGGTTTCTTGTCCTACCAATAGATTGTCAAGATTGACAACATTCGCTGTTGGGTGATGCCAGCGGCCACTTTTTATCCACTTTCAATATCAAGTTAAAGTTATAATTCCTTTTTTCCTGCACGAAAGCATGTTCGTTGTCACCGATGGGATGAACAATATTTTCATTTGCAGCACAATCGGAAAATTTTTTCTGACCGGTAGAGTCTCTTTACGAATGTCGGCGTAACAGGCCCGGGAAGTGGCCGTCGATCTCGGTAGTACTGAGTGAGACTGCCCGGACTTGCCGGAACTTGGCACAGTAGTTCCTGGGGGGATTACAGCTCTTCCACTTCGCGCCAGAACGAATACGGAGGTTGCAAGGATGGATTGGGAGAAGATATTGAGAGTAATTTGAGAGCAAGAGCTCAATAAGGACGAGGGCTTAAAGTTTATTGAAGAGGCGTAAGAACGGCTTAAACAGGAGTTCGAGGCAAGACGCTCTGAACAAATGGCAAAATGTGCTGAACTAGAAGCAAAGCATGCAATAACACTTGAAGCTTATGCTCACGAAAAGCAGGTACTTGAGTACAAACTGCGACTGGCACTAACCAAAGGGGGCATTAGAAGGGATAAGAAAAGTCGCATAGAGGTTCCATTGCGAGAAATTAGTATGCCCAATTTACAGAGTTCAGATTTGTCTGAGCGAAAGGGCAATGATCAGGCGTGTAGCACAAGTGAGACGACGTATGTAAGCGATGCACTGAAGGGAAAGAGCCCTGACGTTGCAGATGGTGGTCGCAAGGCAAAAGCTAGGGAACGGTATGCCACTGTTGAAGAGGGCACGGAGAGAGAGAAAGCTACGCCTACAGACAATGAAGAGGTAGGGCATAACGCTTCGTTGATGAGCTTTACATGTGGAGAGCGTCTCTTCGTGTTGTCTGCGTTGTTGTGGCAGCCCACGACACACCAACACTTCGGACCTTGCTGACGCTTCTGTGGGTCACTTCTTTCATTGCTGAAAGGAAACTTGGCACAGCGAGCGTCTCATTTCTGTGTGCCATATTGACAGCATGGCGTCAAAGTTTCTGCACTGACTGCATAATGCCTTCTGCAAATGTCGCATGCGCTGCCGCTTCAGCAAAACACCCTGAATCGCCTGCACTTTCTGCCATGCCTATCTTAAAATTCCCCCGAGCTTGCCGCCAGGCGTGGCGTTGTCGTCGTTCCGCAAGCTTGGGCATTTGTTCCCTATTTTTGACGTTTTGGGGCGTCCACAATGCCCCTGCTGGCACCTGACGAGGACTATTGTTCGTCACCCCACGTGCTCTGTTTCCAGGCTGCTCTTGTGGTGATTTGGGCTGCTTATGCCAGTAATGCTTTTCTTTTTTTCTGGGGGAGACATGTTCAAAGCACCTACATCATTTTGTTCTTCACTATGCGCAGGTCTTCAGCTTTGGAAATTACGCATTCAATGTCACCGAAGGTTGAGTGCACTTTGTCTCATGTGCTCCCCTGCTGTGGGGCAATAGTTTCCTATGGTATTTAGGCGGGTTTCTTATGGTGTTTCAAACTGACATGAAATCATTGTCAAATAATGACACTAGCATTACTAACAGCATGAATTAGAGTATTTACAATTCGATTTCAGGATTGCCAGACACCGAAGCTACAAATTACGGTAAAAAGTCGCCAACAAAATTTCCATGGTCAGAGGTTCTTTATTAGAAAAAATTCTTATGCAGAGGTTTGCATTGAGTTCATACCAGCAATCTAATCACTCTCTATACTTCTCAGTTGTGTTGAGATTGGGAAGATTGGTATATTGACTGAAAGTCATGTACCGTAATTACTCGAATCTAACGCGCACCTTTTTTCCGGTTAAGCGAGTTCATAAATCGCATGCGCGTTAGAATCGAGTACGAACAAAAAAAATTACGGTCAATCTATTGCCATCGGCAAATCCAAAATGGCCGCCCCCTACGTGCGTCGGCATGGCGCGTCGGCCATTTCTGCCTATGTGTTTCCCATGTGCGGCACTTCGTACGTGTGCTGAGGAGTTCGTCATCTAGTAGTGCATTAGCATCGACGGCGTGGAAGGGCCGACTCCAAAAACTCGAGTGCACCACGATGCCGCTTTTAAAAGAAAAGTCATCGCGTGTGCAGAAACGGACGGAAATCGGGCCGCATCGCGGTCGTTCGGAGTTCCCGAAACGTGCGTGCGGGACCGGCGGAAACAAAAGCAGAAGATTGTCAACAGCAAAGCTTCCCGCAAAGGCTTCAGTGGACCACAGCAGGGTCGGTATCCACAAATTAAAGAGCTGCTCGACGAGTATGTGCTTGAGCAGCGAGCGGCACAGCGGCCCGTGACGACAGAACTGCTCCAAGTGCGGCCTATGCAATTAGTCTTAGAAAAAGGTCTAATGCGGAGCCAGTTTATAGCGAGCAGGTGCTGGCTAACTTAACTTTATGAAAAGGAAAGGCTTTTCCCTCCGAAGGGGAACATACATATGCGAAACGTTTTGCGGAGGAGTACGATGAAAAGCTTCGCAGTTTTCAGAGGTTCAACCTAAACTTGCGGCGGAACAACGACTACCTGCTTGGGCAAATCGGGAATGCCGATCAGACGCCTCTTTACTTCGACATGCCTGGCACCACAACCGTCGAGAAAAAGGGAGCGAAGCAAGTTCGCGTGCTGACATCTGTCCACGGTAAAACTACAGTGACGGCAATGCTCTGTTACACGTCAGATGGGCACAAGCTTCGCCCGTACCTCATATTTAAATGGAAGACGCTCCCGAAAGGAGTTGTTTTTTCGACTAGTGTGATCGTGCGGGCCAGCGAGAAAAATGGGTGCGCGTTGCAATCGATGTCTTACGTTTTTTTTTTTTTTTTCGCGGTGGAAATCGGGTGCGCGTTACAATCGAGGGCGCGGTAGAATCGAGTAAATACGGTAATCGATTTTGTACACCATATGAATCCTAGGTTGAATTAGACTGCTTTTTTGTCTTTGAGGAGTGATAGCACAAAAAATAAATAAATAAATGCCTTGCGCTGTTTCTAAACAGTTGTAACGTTGTCAACAGTTGTAATAGAGTAGTCTCTTCTGTGGTCAGACTGTCCGCACAACAGAAATCGTGGCATATGTTCTGGGATCCACTAAGCAAGTACCAGCAGATATGCTGAAGTTGAGGATGACTGAAGGGTAAATAGTTGATTCATTGGACTGATAGATCCCCGCAGGGGCGCCTGCGCAAGTAGGCGTTTGGTGTGTAGCGACACCACGGACCCGAGATAACGGGGGAGTTTCTACTCCCTCCCACGCCTTGCCGTGCGTGGCTTTGCCGTGTCCGGGGAAAAGGGGATCCTGGGGGTTGAGCCGACGCTGGGTGATTGGACCTTTAAGGCCCCCCGACAGAGGCAACACACCCCTTTGGCCCCGGCTTCACGTAGACGGCACCCCTGGGCTGACCCACCCAGGGGAAATCGGCAGTCGCCTTTTCCTATCCCTCTCTCCCTCCATCTTCGTCTTTATCTCTTACTATTTATCTGTCCTGTCTACTACTCTCTTCCGTTTACTTCCAAACTTCCTGGCGGCTAGGGTTAACCCTGTGCAAATAGCCTACCTTGGTCTAGGCGCATTGGGTTATAGTGGCGTTGTACGGCTGGCGTCTGCAGTTTTCAGCATCTGTAAACTTGTAGCGTCCCCTCGTTGGGCTCCGTGGTGGGTGGCCGCCAAC